ATGTAGGTTAGTGGAGACTGGAGAAGAGGGTGTGCTTCTTCAAGGAGGGAAGGATAGGGATTTAGCAGGAGAGAAGGTGGAAAACAGCAGTTCTCAATGGTTTTAGAGTCCGGACTTCAACTCTTAATTTTTATCAGTTATACCTTTGGTATTTATCATTAGAAATTAAAACAGAAATATTAAAACATGAACTAAAACCAACCTTCCATACTGCAGGGTTTTTTGATGTTTGTTCTGTCTTTGCTTCTGTACTTAGTTTGATTGATTTTTTTTAAATATATACTTTATTACTGTATTTTAAATGTATTTTTTTTTGTCTCTATGTATGTCTGTGCATCATGTACATGTTTGGTGCCTGATGAAGCTAGAAAAGGGTGTTCTATCTCCTGGAATTGGAGTTAGAGATGCTTATGAACTGCTATGTAGGTTCTGGGAATTGAACCCAGGTCCTGGAAGAGCAGCCATGCTCTTAACCTCTGAGCTATTTCTCCAGCCCAGTTGTTTGATGCTTTAAAGTTTGAAGTAATGTGAACAAAACTCAACCTCAGATACCTCGTTGGTAAAGAAATATTTTAATGGCAATAGCCACTTTAGGTAATTGGGATCTCCATGCCCCTTAGTGCTGGGAACTGAACCTGGGACCTCAAACATGCTAGGCAAGTGTTCGTTCCACTGAGCTGTTTTCCCAGCTTGTGAATATTTTGTATATGTGTGTTACTTTACAAAAACTTGACCTTATTCTTGCATGATATTAAAGCATCATGCAGTGATCTTTGGGAAAAATATTTGGTTGACATATCTTCTAAACATCAAAATCTAATCTCACCACCAGTCTCATCAGAATACTCTGTGAAGCTTTGAGCTTACACTGGTGGATAAGTGTTCCAGGGTTTGAATGTTTTTCTCTAAAGTTTGACTTTACTATTGGTGAAATGGACCGTCCTTTGTTTTAGAAATGACAGGCTGTCTCTTGTGTTTGAGAAGACATCTTCTAAAAAGCCAAGTTGGAATATGCCTTGCACAGTCATCTTTTCAAGTAAAAGTGGTGTCCGTTTATGTCAGTTCATCTCACAAGTCAGTCACACATGCCTACTCTCAAGTGTCCTCCAGGGGTGCTCGTGTCTACTTCCCATTTCATTCCCACAATACTCAAAAGGTATATAGATGTGATGGGTATCACCCTCACTGTCTCCTTTTCACAGCTTCGTCTGTCCAAGTACTAGCAGTGGAAGATCCCAGCCTTGTAACCATGTCACAGGGCCTTCACTTGTGCAAAGACAGCAGCAGTTTTACCCCACAGCCTCTGCACTAGTGAGGACTGAGGAGAGTGGAAAAGACCATCAACAGTGTAGTCTTATAACAGTGTGAGGTCTCAGGCCTCTGAGAAACATGGAAATAGGAGTGCTTATGTTTACTACCTAGCCTGTCTTTTCAGCTACAGGATTTAAAATACAAACATCTCAGGGGAACTGATCTCCTCTCCCTAAATTTCTATTAATGTGGTGTGGGGCATTTCAGTCTGCCTCAGTAGCTCATATGCTTCTTCATGCAGACATTTACTAGATAAACACTAATCTATGTAATGAACTTCTAGATCTATTTTATTTTTTAAAAGCTAAAGAAAATACAAAGCCCAAACAGTAAAAATGGTCTAGATGCTGTATACCCAAGCTAGGCTGAAGAAGGTGAAATTACACCAAGTAAGTACCTTTTCTTAAGAACAGGGTTGATTCTGAAGACGCTTTACCTTTTAGCCTGTGAAGTGATTTGGAGCCAGTAAGAAGTGAATGAGGGGACAAAAATAAACCAACCGTTGCTGGACAGACACACGGATACCACTACTGACAGTAGTTGCTTTTTCTTAAGATTGGGTAAAATGTTAGCGGGCGGTGGTGACACACGCCTTTAATCTCAGCACTCCAGGGAGGCAGAGCCAGGCGGATCTCTGTGAGTTCAAGGCCAGCATGGACTACAGAGTGAGTTCCAGGAAAGGCACAAAGCTACACAGAGAAACCCTGTCTCAAAAACAAAACAAAACAAAACAACAACAACAAAAGATTTGGTAAAATGCTTTCAAAGTTTCCAGTTTTTGTGCTGTTAGTTCTGTTATAATGAGGTTATAGTTCCTGTATGGCATTACAGAACATTGTTCTTATAAACTATCTGTGTGATACAGCTTTTCACTTCTTAAATGTCTTCAGCAGCTAGTATCTACCGATAATGTCTTTTCCCAGAGTCCCAGTAGAAAACAGTACAAAGGAGCAGAACACATGTCTGTTAGTGGGCAAGTATGTAACACTTCCTTCACTAATTCACTTAAAAAACCATTTAAAGTAAAAAAATATATGTAGCACTTCTCAGTAGTACTTTGTGTGATAGGATATTAGAATTGTATCATGTTTGATTAGCAACAGATGCATTTCTCTCTAACAAACTTAGAAACTTATTTATTTTACTTATTTTATGTGTATAGGTGTTCTGCGTGCTTGTATGTCTGTGTACCACATATATGCAATGCCTGCATGCAGTCAGAAGAGCATCAGATCTCCTAGGAACTGGAGTTACAGGTGGTTGGAGCACTGGATCTGGGTCTCCTGGAAGAGCAGTCAGTTTTCTTAACTGCTAAGCCAGTTACACCTTGGAGCCCTTAGACCTTGGGGCGGGGGAGGAGGATGAGTATGTGTTTGCTTGCATGAGTTATGTGTACCATACGTGATTAGGAACCTGCAGAAGCCAGTTGTTGGGTTCTTTGGAACTGGGATTAGAGCTGGTTGTGAGCTCCCTTGTGGGTGCTGGGAACTGAACCACGCTCCTCTGCAAGAGCAGCAAGTGCTCTTTAACCACTGAGTCATGGCTTCAGTCTCCTAAAGTTAGAATTTTCAGACAGCAAACATTACTCTGAGTTTCTGTGGATCAGAGTCTGCCGTCACTTACCTTGGGTTCTCTGGCCTGTGGTCTTTCCTAATGCAGAAACCTGTTGGTGGAGGAGGCTACTGTGGTCAGAAGGCTGGAAAGGTCATATAGTTGCTGGCAGGATTCTTCTCATAGGGTGTTGGCCTAATCTGAGGATCTTGGTTAGTTCTTAGAGTCCTTTTTCAATTTCTTGTGACTCAGAGCTCTCCATAGGGTAGTTCACCATGTGGCAGCTGATTTTACATCACCAGGATTAATTGCAAGACCAGGAGATAAGCAAGACAGGAGTTGTCTTTGTAACTTGATTTCAGAAGTGGTATTGGTACTTTTGCTGTATTTAGAAGTGAGTAGCTAAGTCCCAGGAAGGGGATTTTTGCAAGGGTATGAATACCAAGAAGTGAGAATTAATGGGGGTCATTTTAGAGGCTGTGTAATAGAATGTTTGAGAATACCATTGATGGTGTCTGTGAATAAATGTCCAACATCTATATTAGAATGGCTAACTCAGAAGCCCACTTCTGTGGCAGGTGAAATCTGAATGAGGATTGTGGCAGCCCTGTGCTGCTGTTCACTCTGCTTCTAACACCTGCTATATTTAAAAATATATTTAATGCAGTTCGAGTTTAGTGGTACAGCATGTACCTGGGCATGGCTTTATTCCCAGAAACAAAACAGGTAGGAGAAACTATCAGCATCAAGAAAAGGATTAAGCAAGATCCTTTATGTCTGTTTTGTTTGTTTGTTTTTCGAGACAGGGTTTCTCTGTGTAGCTTTGCTCCCTTCCTGGAACTTTGTAGACCAGGCTGGCCTTGAACTCACAGAGATCCGCCTGGCTCTGCCTCCCAAGTGCTGGGATTAAAGGCGTGTGCCACCACAGCCCGGCTATGAAATTGTATTCTGAAGTCAGCCTGTAATCCTAGCACTTAAGAGGCTGAGGTAGAAGGATGGGCAAATTTGAGTCTACGTATTGAGACCTGGTTTCAAAAAACAAAAGGAAAAACCAAAGAAATGGATTAAATTCTGTGTTACAGTCTAAGAAGGGATGGAAAAATAAATGGAGTAAATCCCTTTAGCTTTTATTTTATATATCTTTAATTATGTGTTTGTGTGTGTGGAGATGGTATATGTACATGAGTGCAGGTGTTTGAAGAGTCCCGAGGCACCAGATCTCCAGGAGCTGGAGTGACAGGCAGTTGTGAGCCACCTGACATGGGTGCTGGGCATTGAACTTAGGGCCTTTGGAAGAGCAGTACACAATCTCAACCACAGAATCATCTCTTCAGCTCACCCTCCCCACTTTGAGACAGGGACTCTGTGCATCCAGGCTGGTGTCCAACTCATGGGCTTCCTACCCCAGCCTCTGATGTGTCCGCCCCAAGCCTGGCTCAGGGTAGTGCATTGTGTACTTGTGGAGGAAGAAGAGAACCTCCAAGGAGCTTCTGTGATTACACTGCTTAGAAGGGAGGCCAGCGCGCCGTGAGCAGAGGGGCTGGAAAAGAAGTGTCAGCATTTGTGAAGATTGGGAAACGTGTTCCTTGGATTTACTTAAATTCAGAGCGAGGTGTGTAGATAAAATTCAGAAATAGGGCATTATTAAAAGGCAAAAGGTACTATTCAAATGTAGGGGCTGAATTTTAAAGTTGGGATTTTTTTTTTTTTAAACTTGCCTTTTCACTTTGAGAAATTATTGTGATTCCATATTTTAAAGCTCTGGAAAAGGTGAATGCTAGAGAATTCAGGTCATGATAGACCTGCTATTGCAAGTTTTCAGTGGCACTTGGATACATTTCCTCCCTTTTGATAAAAGGAACTCTTAAGGTACATTTGGTTTTTAATCATCCTGCTCGTTGTGTAAAGTTCTGTTGTCTGCTTTTAAACTTACAAATTGGATGACATGGACTAGGCAAGATTAAGCTATTAAACTTAGCAGTTTTAATTTTTAAACATCACAGAGGAGTCTGGTCTCTCCATGAATTTCGATGTCGCTTTGTTCCTTTGAAGCATTTTATATGGATCATAAGCACCTTGCTGCTGCATATCTGGGTTGGTCTGTTTGTAAGTGTGTTTCACTTACTGTCTCATAACAGGAATCTTACCCATCTTCTTCACCGATATGGTTTGTGGACTCTGATGACCCAAATCTGGCATCGGTTCTGGAACGCTTAGAGGACACTAAGAACAACAATTTGGTAAGGAGATAAACTAGTCTTTTCTTTTTTCTTTCTTATGGTCTTATAATGGAAATTAAGTATTAAGAGGTAATGTGATAAAAATTTATCATATTTAAAATTGACTTCATTTGTTTCCTTTTTCTGATATTTCCATCCCTTCTTAGACTAATGTAAGTTGTTACACAGCCTGTTTAGTAATTATGATTTTAGTGAGCTTAGAGGCTATCGCTTTTGAAGTCCATCTCCCTCTTTCCATAGGTACAGTTCTTTTCTATATTAGGAATTGAGGTTCTCTTTTTCCTTCATTCGAACGGTTAAAGAAAGCAAACCTTTTGGATAGACTTGGGTGAGATGAGAAAGGGAAGGACAAAGGAGAGAGACAGGCCAGTGTGGTGTGAAGGAGAGAAAGACAGAATAGCATCAGTCCTGAGGTTAGGGATTCCTTTGCTGAGGAGGCCCACAAGGCTGCAGTAAAGAGCCGCATTGATTGAAGAAAGGCTTGTTTTTTTGTCCCCTGTCCACATGTTCCAAGAGCCCTGGTAGAAGCTCTGTATAAACACGTTTTCAGCCAGGTGGTGGTGGCGCACGCCTTTAATCCCAGCACTCAGGAGACAGAGGCAGGTGGATCTCTGAGTTTGAGGCACAAAGCTACACAGAAACCCTGTTTTGAAAAAACAAAAAAACAAAACAAAACAAAAACCACATTTTCTTCAGTACATTGAACATTACGAGACTAACAGTAGCTAGTAGTAAACGAGAACAGTGACAGCAGGCCCCATGTTAAATAACTTTACAAGTTTTTACTTCCAGTCAGCGTGGGTGGACCTTGATTAATCCTGGAAAACTGAACTTGTAGAGTGCTTATCTGGGGGTAAAGGGGAACCGCTGTGTAGAGATATCTTTTGAGGCTGGAGATAGATAGGGCTTGGGAATGTAGAGCACTTCCTACTCTTACAGAGGAACCAAGATCAGTTCCCAGCACCCAAGTTGGGCAGCTTACAACTGCTTTAGCTCTAGGGGAGCTGATGTTTCCTGATCTCTGTAGTCACTGTACTCAGGTGTACAGACACACACACAATTAAAAATAAATAACCTTGTTAAAAAGTATCTTTTCATTATTTTTTTTTAACTAAAAATTTTTACTCTTTGATTATAAACTTGTAAGGTACCCATTGTGAGAAAACTTATATGTTGTAGACAAACCAAAAGAGGACATTTAACTTTCCTGTAATTTTTCTACCTAATAGAACTGGTTACTGTTGACACAAGGGATATTTTCTGCCAGTTTTTTCTTTGCTAGCAAAATCCATATACTATTTCATATGTCTTTAAATAGTTGGGGTCATAGTCTGTAGTCTTACATCTCTTTTGAACTTATTGTATTTTTTCCATGATGTCATTAAATCATTATGGAAAAATAATTGTTCTTTGTAGGTATCGTGGTTTTTTAAAAATACTCCACTGTAAAGGGACTAGCTGGAGAAAAACAATTAAATGGATTTGTTGAAGTATATTTTATAAAAATCTATAGTATTCCAAAAATACAATGATATTCTATTGATGATTACAACAAGAATTAAACACCTAGGAATAAACTTAAATGTGGAAAACTTATATGACAAAAACTACAAAACTACAAAATTTTGCTCAGCAGAATGTAACAACTTAGATACAATGTTCCTGGATGGGCAGACAGATGTCTAAGATGTTACAAATGCCACTTATCTCTATGTCCTTATATTTATAAATCTAATTCAGTGTCACTCACTAAAAATGACTTATTTATTTATTTATTTATTTATTTTTTTTTTTTTGGTTTTTCGAGACAGGGTTTCTCTGCGTAGCTTTGCGCCTTTCCTGGAGCTCACTTGGTAGCCCAGGCTGGCCTCGAACTCACAGAGATCCGCCTGGCTCTGCCTCCCGAGTGCTGGGATTAAAGGCGTGCGCCACCACCGCCCGGCTTATTTTGGCTTTTAAAGACAGGCTCTTGCTGTGTAATTCAGCCTGGCCTGGAACTTGCAAGCTTCTGGCCCCGGTCTTTCCAGTCCTGGGACTATAACAGGCTATGTCACCCTGCCTAACAACCAGCAGATTTGTTTCTGCTGTTGACAGAATGGCTCTAAGAATAAGAATAAAATAAAAAATTTAGAAAGGTAAAAGATTTGTCCAGACAGTAAAATAAAATACTAAATATTGGAACTAGACCATCAGGCAGTAGAAGTTTAGGAACAGTCATGCAAATGAGAATTTAGAATTAGTAAAGCTGGTATTTTAATTCAGGAAGGATCTTTCTATAGATAGTTTTAGGGAAACTGACCATTTAGGGAAGTTGGGCTCATTAACTCTTTGACTTGTCAAAATAAATTATTGATAGTTTAAACATGTTCTTAAAATTAAGAACACCAGGCCTGCCTATTGAAATGGTTCAGCACTTGCCTACAAGATTGAGGACCCGAGTTTGATACCCAGGATCCATATAGTAGAAGGAAATGAGAGGAATTGTCCTCTGACTCCCACACATGTCGTGGCACATGTCATCCGTGTCTCCCACACACACCCCCCAACCTCCGTAAGTATAAAAAATTCTTAAAAAAATTTAAGAACATAAGCTTGAAAAGTTTTAAGAGTTCAAATCTTAAGAGCGATGAAAGTAGGACATAATTAAAAGCCAGGCAAGTACTTGTTGACATCTCCAGCAGAGTGATGATGAGAAAGACAGACATAGCCCTCTGTTCCTCCTCAGATTGCTTCTGGGCCAAGCTTGATGGCACAGGCCCATAATCCCAGCTGCTTTGGAGTTAAGGCACTGAGATGGCAAGTTCAAGGATAGTATGGTCAACCGATTGAGATCCAGTCTCAAAAGTAAAAAGATGGTTGAAACTATAACTCAGCAGGAGAATGACTAGCAGGGTCCTAGGCAGAATCCCTGGTACTATGAAAAAAGTAAATAAACTTGTCAAGTGAAATGGACCAGGACTTAACATTGGACCTAGTTTTAGAAAGGAAATAGTGAAAAACATGTTTTCACTCTTATAGCCTCTGCCAGTTTCTCATAACCTGGTTTCTAGAGAGAATAGTTGTTTTGTTTTGACTTTTAATTTACTTATTTATTATAGTTTAGATTCTGCTGTTGTATGGACATTTCTTACTTGTCCAATCCAGTGGCTCCTTTTCTTAGTACCCAAATTGATTTTTCTTGTGGTTGAAATATTCTTCCATGAACATGTATTACTTAATGCCCACCAATAAAGAATTTGTTAAATTTTAAAAAATGTGATGTATAGTTAAATACTCCACTGTAGTAAAAAAGAGTGTAAAATACATATTAGTGTTGGCTTTCCTTCCCTCCCATAAATGTAGGAAGCTGTTAACAGAACACAGGAAAAGTATTTTAAGAATATTGATTGGCTTCTCTATGAAGCTCTGTGATAAGTGATGTGTATTCACAGACAAGATGTGTTGTCTGCCCTGTGCGAACTACTAACCTAGTGGTACTTCTGTGAGACCATCATTCCTCAGCTCTCTTTCTTGCTATCTTGTCTTGGTCTCCTCTGAGATGCTCTTCCTTGGTGTGTCTCTTTATATTATCTTTTTACTCTGTGCTTTCTCTGTGCAGCTCTTTTATTCTTGTTACTCATACTTTATTTATTGCAGGGATTCCTAAATCTGTATCTCTAGCCAAAATTTGTCTTCAGAGTTTGAAACCCATACACTTACGAATATAGATCCTCTGTGTACAGGGGATCCTGCTTGGATGTGCCATGGGATGTGACTATCAGTTTACATTTGTCTCCATCAGCCCATCATGCTTTCCCTCACTAATTCTCTTTGTAGAAATGAAATAATGATGCTGGTCATCTGTGCCTGGCCCTGGGAACTTGAGTTCTTTTTTTTTTATACTTCTGTTCCCCAAACTGTAAACTCTTCTAGAAAGTACCAAAGACTTGTCCATCTACCTTCTAAAAATTTAGTCCCTCCCTGTGATCTTAGTTTCTTCCACAATCCCTGAAGAGAAGGGGAGTGGTAAAAAGTAAACTTCCTGGTAGATGAACTCCCTGTTTTTCCTGTTGCTTGGTAGGATGCCATCCCACTGCTGCCGTCTACAGCACTCCTGCAGGAGCCTGTGGCAGGCAGGACCCGAGGTCAGCGCTGTGTTCTGGTCACCCTGTCTCATCTCGTTATGTATTGAACACATTCTGACTTACTGGATGGATAACAAATGCACAGTGGTGGGCCCTTTGCTTCCCTTTAAGCATGAGGGCATTTGTTTGATCTAATTTAGTGTTTATTTAGCCTTCCCCATGTCCACTTGGTCCTTATCCACTGTGGAAGGGCTTGTTCTTTGCTGGGTTTAACCTATTCTAATCCTGTTTCTGTTTTCTTAGTCCTCCATAGACCTGCTTCTTCTTTGTGTCTTTTCTTGGTCAGAGACACTGAGCTAACTGTTCCTGTCCAGTGTAGTAAGCTGCTTTATCAGCTCCCATCTTAGTCTAAGTATTGCTCCTCTTCTATGTTGGGGAAAAGTATGTTTCCACATAGTTTGCCTTGGTTACTTCCGTAAAGTATATATACCTACAGAATTTTAAAATGGAAATGTAAAGAGCTGTTCTAATACGGCAGTTTTCCTAATAATTTCTTCCTTTTCTTTTGGAGAGGCTTAATTTTAATTTACTCCTCACTGTTTGTCCTGAGATAGCCTTTATTTCCTTGTTTTGCAGATGGGGAGACTAAATCCAGGGGCTTAGGTATACAAGGTTATTTATTTTAGGGCCCAGTCTACTAGGTCACTTTTGTCTCCGTAGTTTTAAACAAACATGACTGTTGCATATGTAAGTTCAAAATCCACATGCAACACTTCCTTTAGATTTTTTATAGTCTTATGAATGCATTAATGTTCTCTTGTCTAAAGCTGCAAGTTTCTAGGATGTCAGCAACTAGACACTAGACAATGTCTGAACCTTCCTTCTGTGCCTTTTTGTTGGGGTTATTTACTAGTTACCATGTAGTAAGGACACACTAAGCTGTAGTAACTTTTTAAGGTTTCCTCTACCAGCAGCTCTAAAATGTATAAAAGACTGTTAGTCCATCCGTAGGCTGTAGTGGAGCAGGAGCACGTTTTCGTTTCCTTCTGGATTGATTAACAGTAGTTGTAGCGTTATTCAATGTCTTCTAAGGGCTCTTTAACATAATGCTTATTTACTGAAATGTGTTTTGTAGCTTCGTCAGCAATTGAAGTGGTTGATATGTGAACTCTGCAGATTATATAACCTTCCTAAGCACCTGGATGTTGAGATGCTAGATCAACCACTACCCACGGGTCAGGTAAAGTAAACATTCTCTAGTGTTGAGCTGAATCAATTGTCTTAATCACAGTTAACTAGGATAATTTAAAATTATTATACAACCTATTTGGAAGTTAGTTTTGTGTCCCTAGTAAATTGCTTTGCTTTAGGTACTAAAACAGCCTTTTCATTTCTTGGAGTTGCTTGTATTTTACTGTGATAGGTATAGGTAAGCACTTGCTCCCAACCCCACTATTTTGGTTTTTGTTAAAATTTCTGATTTCCATGTTTCTTCTTTGATTGTTTGCTTGTTTAGTCAGTTACCTTCCCTTGATACACCTTATCCATAACTCTGTTTGTGCTTCTTAAGGCCTAATGCAAAGTTTGTGTTTCTTAAGGCCTAATGCAAAGTTACCTCTCCCAAGCAATGGAAATTCCCACCAATGCAGCAGTCACTCATGACTTTGAGTTTTATCTGTTTAGCTACAACTACTGACTTTTTATTATAATAAATCAGGATTTAGCTCTTATACTAACTACTTAACCACCCAGTGCTTCTTAAACATTGTTTAGTTATGAGTAATGAGTTTACCGTCAGGACTTTGTGGAGTCATGGTTTCTGTTAGGGTATTTCTTTACTTGTGCCATCTTTTAGTTATCAGTGTGTTTTTAGAGTAACACTTCCTAGCTTCTAAAAGTTACACTCTCTTTCTGATCCTCTCCTTGGAGCCAGTGGCTCTTCTGCATTAGTCCTTAGGAGTCATTCTCTGGGTTGGCTGTACAGATCTTTCTTGTCTGCTCTCTCTCCTGGAGTGATTCTGTTGATTCCCAGATCTCATGTCATCTATGTTGGCTTTCCCTTTCTTGTTTGTCTGTATTACCTTGTCAGAGAAGAGCCAAAGCATGAAGGAATGGCATATTTCCTGAGTTATCTTTTGGAAAATCTGGTTCAGAGTTGGTGTTTCAGAACAAGCCCCCACTGGCCTTGAATCTCAGTTCTGCATACTAGCTTAAATTCTTGGGTTCTTGGACCATTCTCTTAATCACTGTGGTCATCGCTCATTTTCACAAAGTAATTGTGATAGGAGTTTGGCAGCACTGTGGGCTATTCTAAAAATTAGTGGTCAGTGAAGTACATGTGAATTGTTTGGGACATCCTTAGTAAGTATTAACTGCTCTTACATTCTCTTTTTACTCCATGTTTGATGGAATTTATACATCTAGGCAGGACATTTTGCCTCAGAATTTCAGGAGTATGCTGCTGCCTTCTAGCCAGTGGTGTGCTGAAGCTGATGCCATTGGAATCTTATTTGTGTATGTCTTGTTCTCTGGAAGCTTCAGGGAAGTTTTGCTTTCTTTATTTCTGAAATACTACAAAGGTGTCCTTAGCTTTGGGTTTGTTTGTTTTTTTTTTTTTGTTTGTTTGTTTTTGTTTTTGTTTTTTCATTGTGCTGGGCATTCAGTAAGGATAGTCCTTTCAAATTTGAGTCTTGAACTTTGTTATATACTTTGTGTGTTAATTTTGCTTTTTCCATTTTGTTTAATTTAGAGTTTACTGATTGGGCTTTTAAATGTGTTTGTTTTCATTTTTTTGGAGACAAGCTCTCATGTAGTTCAGACTAGCTTCAAACACCATATGTAGCTGAGGCTGACTCTCGTGTCTCTATACCCTGAATGTAGAATTACAGGCCTGTGTCACCTTGCCTGGCTAACTTTAGATTTTAGATCTTAGTTTGAGTCTTTATATCTTTTGTATTATATTCTTTTTGTTAATTTTATTGTATTTTTATTTGTGTGGGCGTGTGTGTGTGTGTGTGTGTGTGTGTGTGTGTGTGTGTGTGTTGGTGTGCACGTTACAGGAATTGGTTCTCTCTTTCCATCATCTGGGTCCCAGGGATCAAACCCATGTGGTTAGGCTTGGCATCGGGTGCCTATATTCGCTGAGCCATTTCATTTTTTCTCTTAAAAATCTTGCTGTCCTTTCAACTTTTTGCTATTTTTACATGGACAGTAATAACTTTTAAGGTTTTAAAAATTAAGCATTTTTTATGTGTATGAGTGTTTTGCCTACATGTATGTATGCACCACATGTGTGTGTAGTACCTAGAGACCAGAAGAATCTGTTGTAGTCACTGGAACTGGAGTTTCAGGTATAGTTGTGAGCTCCCATGTCAGTGCTGGGATCAGACCCTAGCCCTCTGCAAGAGCAGCCAGTTCTCTTAACCATCGAGCCATCTCTTTAGCCGCCACGTTTTGTTTTTATTCTTTATCTCTGTTTACCCCATTTTCTCGATATTTAATGGTTTAGAGCTGGATGTGGTGGCACATGTTTATAATCTCAGCACTCAGGAGGCTGAGGCAGGATGAATGTGAGTTTGAGGCCAGCCTAACCTACAGATGAAGACCCTGTCTTAAAAAGCAAAAAAAAAGACTGGCCATGGTGGCAAATGCCTTTAATCCCAGCACTTTGGGAAGCTGAGACAGGTAAATCTCTTGAGTTTGAGGCCAGTCGGGGCTACATGATGAGACCTTGTCTCAAAAAATTAAAAACAAAACAAAACAACCACAAAAAACCTTAATGCCTTAAAATAGTAATTCTTGCTATTGGGTCAATTAGCTAGGCTTACCGAGATAGTGTCTGCTGAATTCATTTGACGATTATTACTGTGCAGTCATGTGGTGGCACATTCATCAGAGTATGGCTATAGACAGCTAGTGTGATCTTCATCTTGAGCTGCACTCAAATGTTCAACATGGCTCCCCCCCCCCCCCACTCCTCGTGTATCTGGCATTTCTTCACATGGCTTTTTTCTGTACACGGCATCGTCCTCTATGGACTCTTTATGAGACTTCTTTTTCTTCAGAGGTCATTTGGAACTCTCCAAGAACACAAGAGTGGGAGTTGTTGGACATTCTTAAGGCTTAAACCTAGAGCAGATCCAGTGGTCTGTGAGTTAAAGTGAGTCTCAGGCCAGCCCAGGTTCACTGTGGGCTGGGACACCACAGACTTTAAATGACAGGGGTGTGATTCTTCTCCAGTTTCTGAATGTGAACTTGAGCTCAGCAGCTCCTGATTACCCCTCCTTCATAGCAGTCTGTATTGATTGTCTAGATGTGATAGATTCATGAAGCTGTGTGTTTTGACACTTTGGTCCTCTCTGTATTTTCTATTTACTGTGTATTTTCTCAGTTTAATCATGTCTTGTTTTATACATTGTAAAGCCCATCATCCTCCAGTATTCTGTATTCTCTGTTTGCTCATTCATACTTTAATTTTTTTTTTACATACCTTTCTTTGTACCAAATGAATGGTAGGGCATTCCTTATAGCTAACACTCGTCACCTTATAGCTTTAGGGGATTATGCTGATTCCCAGCCACTCTTCCCCATACTTTTCTACTTCTTAGTACTGGGTAAATGATGGCTCCCGTCTATCTGGAGATGGGCTTTTGCATGACAGATAAATCTTCCCAGGTTCTGCTTAAGGAAGTGGAGGTGCGGAATGCAGTGTCCTTGAGTCTAGGTTCTTATCCTTCTTGCTGTCCCTGTTTGTAGTTGTCTAGTGGAGATGGTGTACCTGGTAGACCATCCCCTTGGCTTTCTTAAATGTTGTACCTATACACTGTTTAGTCTTTTGTAATTGAGTGGAGCCTAAAGAAAGATGATGAGAAAAAGGTTTTATTTTTATATCTGTTCAAGTTTTATTTTCCAGAGTGTCTGTGGTTTTGTTTTTTTACCTACAGTATATCCTAGACTTGAAATCTGTCTTGTTTCTCCTGAGTGTACATAGGAGGCTAATATAGATAGCTAAGATTATTTGTGAATTATGTAACAAAATGCCCTGATTTTGAATCATCTTTGCATTTTTCTAATAAACATTGCTAGGATAGCTATGGTAATGTTTTTCTATTTTTACTTAGACTCTGAGATTGTAGAATGGTTTTGTTTCTTTTTAGGCTCTTCTTTCACTTCTGGGTCAAGGTTCGACTTAGCTTTTTGCATCTTTGCCACAGTATAGTTTAAATTTAGTACATTTCAAACAAAAGCAGTTCTGGTTCAGTGGACATTTAGAAATACCTGGAAGCATTTTGGGTTGTCATCACTATCTGTAGCAGAGAGGTGGGATGCTGTTGGCATTTTATGATTTGATAGGATGCTTTTAAAGTACTATGATGAGGATAGAACCCCACAACAGAGTAGGGGGTTGAATATGTCAGTACTGCTGAAGTAGATAAACCTTATTTTAAGCACATTCAAGCTTGATCCATTTCTGAAATTGTTTTATCCTGATAATTAACCAGAGGCTTGTCTGTTTTAATACCTTAGACCCTTGGAAGAATCAATTCTTTTTAAAATGTCAAGTGTTTTCTTTTTCATCCTCTTGCTCCCACCCCCTCCCATTTTATTTATCTCTACCTTTTGCTTTTAATGGATTGCTGTCATTAAAATTGCTTCTCTGTGGTGTGTGTGTGTGTGTGTGTGTGTGTGTGTGTGTGTGTGCGCGCGCGCGCGCGCGCATGTTCTGTGTGGAGGCCAGATAACAACCGTGGGTGTTTCTCAGATGCCCATCCTTTTTATTTTTCTTAAAATTTTATTTTATGTATATGAGTCTTTTACCTGACTGTAAATGTTCTCTGTGTGCCTGGTGTTCTTGGAGGCCAGAAGAGGGCACCAGATTCCTGGGACTGGAGTTTCAATGGGTTGTAAGCTACTAATGTGGGTGCTGGGAATCTAATCTTAGTCTGTTGCTGATTCTCTTAATTGTTGAATGGCTGTCTTTCCAGACCTCACCCCTTTTTTTTTGAAACAGTTTCTCACTGGCCTGGAACTTACCCAGTGGGTGAGGCTGGCTGTCCTGCAAGCCCCAGGGCTCTGCCGTGTCTGACTGGGACACGGGTCCTGAGGCTCTGCACTCAGCCCTAGTGCTTACATGGCAAGTGCTTTAGTCGCTGAGCCGTCTCCTCAACTCTTCAGATCAACTTCTTAACACACATGCAAAGCTGTATATTGCCCTTGAGTGCTGGTTGACTTCATTGTACAAGGTTAACCTTTAGTGTGTTTTTGAATGGCACCATTTATCCACATGCCTAGTAAGACTATAGTATGAAATACAACCAGTGTCGAAAATAAGAAAGCTTTAAGCTTGGCATAACGTTTGGTTTCAGTGAATCCCTTGAGCGGTTCTTCAGTCACCACCCAGGGAAGAGTCAGACAGTTGTTGACACAACAGAAGCCTTCAGTGCGCTCCTGTAGGCCTTCATAGCTAGCCATCTTCCCTTGGTTTCTCTGGCTTCTCATTCATATGTGCGTTCTGTGTACAGGTCAGTGTTGCCTGTTTTTGAGCTCTGTGGTAAGAATCATGCTATGTATTGCACGTTTTCCTTTGCAGTTCCTTTTTCATTGCTGTGTTTATTCCCTTGTTCAGATAGGTCAGAATATTTCCCCAATTGCCATTTGAGTGTTGATGGATGTTTCGGTTGTTTCTCGTCGTCAGCCTCCCCCTTAGGAAGAACGCTACTGGGGATTACCCTGTTTGTATTTCTGGAGATCCTATGCACTCATTTCTCTGGGGACATACTTAGGAGTCACTTTGCTAGGACATGAATGTCTTTTTTTTTTTTTTTTTTAACCCAAGGGTTATCTAGATAGATCTATTAAATATTTTCAGGTGACTTTGGGGCTACCTTTGTTTTGGTTTGTCAGTGCCTGTGACCTCTCACCTGCGTTATCAACAGTTGGGTAGACTGTACATTGGTGTCATTGCTGCTGTGGCACCTCCCAGGCAGATCCCTAAATAACAGGTCTTCTTGTCTTGTTTTTCCTACAAAGATTTGGTTTATGGAGGTGTGTATGGTGTGCACGGGGAGCGTTGTATAATTGGTGTCAGTTTTTAGCATGTAAAGTGTGTTGGTGTGGGGAATCCACTGGTGTACACAGATGCGCACCCATCCACACAGCTCTGTTGGCATAGCTAGTTACAGAGTTCTAAGTTCTTTATTGGGTGTCTTCCCAGTTTGCATTTTTTTTTTAACCTCTGGTATTTGTTACAGATGAAACGTAGCGACTGTGTGCTTGCTCTGTGTGTTTCATCTGTCCTGTCTTGAGTGTTGGTTTGGTTTCCTCTAACTGTGGACTCGCTGGCTTCTCAGTGTGATTTGGGTATCCAGAGTCACTTAATATTCTAAACTCTCTCAGATCCTGCCATCACTTGTCTCTTTTCCTTTCATTCTCTGGACGATTATTAGACCTTTGGAGTCTTGTCTTCCGCATCCTCAAATGCTTTATTCTAACTCCCCAGGCTTCTGTTCCTCTCCTTTCTTCACATTCCTGTCTGTTTGGTCGTCTTCACTGTAAATGCTTTGTTCAGAGGAGACAGTTGGGTTCTATGGGTTTTTACTGTTTTTCTTCAAATGTTTTTTATTTCCCAGAACTGTCCTTTTTCGTAGTAACTTGTTCTTGTTTCGTTCTCAACAGTGCTAATGATTCCACTTAGATTTTAGCTCTGCCTTGCCTCAGATCACTTGTCTGGCGTTTCTGTGTGGCACCATTCAGGATCAGTTTTCTATTTGTAGTACTTGGTTATTTGCTCACTTACAGAAAAGGTATGGCATCAGTCAGGACCGCTGTTAATAGAGGTGTCCATAAGATAGTCCCTTTTCTCTGTGGTTCAGTGCATAGAGCCTGTACTCTCCGGAAGCCGGAGGATGGGGGTGGTTCTGACAGGTGGGCTTTCCAACTCCCAAGTCTATTAGGAGGAAATTCTGCTGTTGTGTTGAGTTACAACAAAGAGATTCCTTCTTTTCTCTTTGGTTCTAACACCCACAGTAGTTGAGAGGCTGTCAGGGTAGACAGGGTTCCTGTAGAACAGAGTGATCCTTAATTGGCACACCTTAATGCAGTCTGGCCTGTTAGTCTCCTGTGGCTTTCTCAGGCAGGAGGGTTAGAACTTTGTTAGCAACAGTAGGATCCATCTGCTTTATGTCTGCTGCTGCCTTGTAGTTGTGGGTCTGTGTATTGTTTTTCTAGTGTACCAGTGTCGTTTTTAATCAAAGTCCGTCACCTCCCCCAAACCCCGGTTTGTTTTTGTTTTGAGACAGGGTTTTTATTCAGTGCACAGGCTGTCCTAGAATCAGTGTAGCTGACCTTGAACTCACATCAGTCAGTCCTCTGTACTGGGATTACAGGCTTGAGCAGCTACCATGCTTGCTTTCAGTGGGCTTTTGGAAAGAACCCTGCCTACATGTTTAAATGAAGGCCTTAAGATTTCATGAGCCTAATTGGCTTTGTGTTTTTTGTCAAATTACTAATCCTTTGGGGAAGAGTGTTTGAGCTTTCTCATTTATAAAATGTTGGCAGGCCTAGTTTGGTGGTCACTTGTCTATCTTTTTCAGGCTGACCATGTGGTTAATCAGTTGTGCTCTTGTGTGGGGAGGGTTATTTCTCCTGCTCCTCTATAGTTCTTTGTCAAGGCCCCAGAGTGAGAGTTCCCCCTTCTGTGTTAGCATTGCTATTGGTGTCATTCTTGTTCAGGTCTTACTTAGGTAGCTATCATGGTGAGACTTCATGGATGTAGCTTCTGTGATATTTCTAGGAGACCAAAATCTATCTCACAGCAAACTTCCTTTTCCTTCTTCTGGCTCTTAGAATCCACTGACCCGAATTTGCTATGACCCTGGTCCTTGGATGCAGGAGTTGTGTTATAGATGTGTCAGTTGGGGCTGGACACTAACAGCTCTCTTGTTTGTTCTTTGCATTTTGATTGGTTGTGGATTTCTGTAATGGTCTATTAACTCTTGCATTAAAGTGCATTTGAAGACATTCTCTGGGGTAGGTTCTGAAATTAGCATTTCAGAAATGCTTTCCACCCTCAGTGCACTCAGACTTGTATCTGGGACCTTGGGACTGTTTGGGTAGCTATGTTTTTTTTTTTTTTTTTGTTTGTTTGTTTGTTTGTTTTTGAGAAGATACCAAAAATAATCTGGTTTGGAAATGAAGGAAAGGATGAACCACAGTAATTTTGGGAGCTGTGTGCTTTTCTTATTTAGTCCCAAGGAAAGGAATAATAAATGTTTAAAGAGATTGGGATTTAAAACAAACCTAAGCTTATGCTGTCTTTACCTGCACAGGATCTTTCCAGCTCACTGATTGTGAAGAGTTAGTGCTCTGTGATAATGAATTTTCTTTCCATAAGACTTGTTCTCTCAGAGCATCTAAGAACAGATGCCTTGAGGCTGCTGAGATCCTGGTAGGTCTGATTTGCTCTCTGAGTTGATAGTCTAGATATTCTGGGTCTCAAACTAAAACCACCTTTATGAATGTAGATGCATTTCCATATTGAGAGCTGGCAAACTTTGCTCTGGTAGAAAACTTGATGTACTACTGTGTATTAAGACCCTTTCTAAAATCCCATCTGACTCCTGTGTGAGTGAATGTGAACTGTACCTTATGAGAAGTATTCCGTAGTAGGTAGACGGAGCTTCAGTCACTTTCAGCCGTATCAAGTGCATTTCCTAATGACATACCTCATTGTTTAAAATAAAGCCGGTAAATTTATTGAAAGATTAAGCTTTTCCAGGTTAAAGGGGTAGAAGATAAAAGAAAAAATAATTTGGAGCATTTATTACATGCAGAAGCCTTTGACCACGTACACATAGCTATATAAGTAAACATTTTTAGAAATTAGGTTATGCTTTAGTTTTTGAAGTTCCTTTATATTTGATTGCCTTTGTTTATTCTTAAGGCATCTGCTACATTGGATTGACTTAAAATTAAATCCTTTAATTTTAGTAAGTCCTGTTCATGGGACCGCAGTGACAGTGGTTAATAGTGGCCAGCTTTCTGATGTGTTCTGTGTGTCTGTGTTCTGTGTAGCTTTGGCACATTCTTTCTCTGTTTCAGAATGGGACAACTGAAGAGGTAACTTCAGAAGAGGAAGAGGAGGAAGAGATGGCTGAAGTAGGTATTTATGTAAGAATAATATTCTAAAATTTTCTCCATTTAATTTTTATTATTTTTGGTGTCCGTGCGCGCCGTGTGTGTGTGTGTGTGTGTGTGTGTGTGTGTGTGTGTGTGTGTCAGATGTTTGTGCTATGGCATGCACTTAGAGGTCAGAGAGCAACATTTGGAAGTCCGTTCTCTTTCCATCATGTGAGTTTAAGGATTGAACGTAAATCATCAGACTTGGGGGCAGTTGCCTTTACTGGCTGAGCAATACATCTCACTGGCTCACATCTCATGAATATATTCATATTTGACACATTTTAGTAATTCTTTAATCTTCTTTTTGAAGTAATATTAATATTGAATAACATTTATATTTCAAATGGAATATAATTTCTGAACTCTGGCTTTGTTGATGATATGTCTTCGAACAAATTATTTTATCTGAGGGCAGTAAAAATCTGTTTACTTGCCGGGCGGTGATGGTGCACGCCTTTAATCCCAGCACTCGGAAGGCAAAGGCAGGCGGATCTCTGTGAGTTCAAGGCCAGCCTGGTCTACAAAGTGAGTTCCAGGAAAGGCGCAAAACTACACAGAGGAACCTTGTCTCAAAAAACCAAACCAAGCCAAACCAAACCAAAACAAAAAAACCATTTACTTTTGATAATAGTAATTATCTTATAATTTGGTTATTTTTAGGAAGAACTACTAAGTTTAACATTTGTGTTTGCAGCTGGGAAGATGCCTCAGTCAGTAAAGTGCTGTCAAGTGTGAGGACCTCAGTTCAGGTCTCTAGCACTAGTGTGTAAAATAAAAAGAAGCTGTGTGATGCGGCTTGCATCTGTAACTCCAGCTCTGGGGAGTTGGGGACAGGAGGATCCCTGTGGCTCTTTTACCTGGCCAATCAGCCAGACCCAGGCTCAGTGAAATTCTGTCTGAAAAAAATAAGGTAGAGAGTGACTGAGGAAGACTTAAGATTTGTATACATGGATTTTTCTCTTTGGGCCACCAGCTCACAAAAGATGACATGGAGACTTAATTAATTTTGAAAGCTTGGCCTTAGCTTAGGCTTGTCTCACTAGCTTTTGTAACTTAAACTAACCCATATTTTTAAATCTATAGTCTTCCATGCGCTCACTACCTCAACTCTATAATGGCCGTTTAGCTCTTTATCAAACCAGTCACAGTGATACATCTTCACACAGTTTAAAGGAATATTCCACAACATGTGTGCATGTGTGGCCTCCATACACACGAACACACTGTACACACACACACACACACACACACACACACACACACACAGTTTATATTTGAATGAAAGGAAAATTTGAGGACATCACAGGGACTGCTTGCTAGAAGCAGTGATGTCTCTTACTGAAAATGAGGGGCATTCTTTTAGTTTGTTCTGTGCTGCTGGAATTAGAATACTCAAGACTGGGTTATTTATGTTTGCACAGTTCTGAAAGCTAGGGAGTTTAGAATCAGGGTGCTAGCTAGCATGTAGTGTCTGGGGAGGACTTCCATGCAGTGTCTTCAAAGGGTAGAAAGCAAAAGTGCAGGAGGACACTCTGGCCAGACCATCTCTTAAGCTTCCTTTATAGAGGGTTTGATTCCATTGTCGAGGAAGGAGGGCTCATGCCTAATCATCTGTTACAGGTCCTATTTCTTTTCATCATTTGTTAGTTTTCAAGACACGGTTTCTCTCTGTAGCCCCAGCTGTCTGGAACGCTCTGTAGCCCAGGCTGGCCTCAAACTCAGAGACCCACCTGCCTCTGCCTCCTGAATGCTGGGATTAAAGGCATATGCCACCACCTCCTGGCTCTGTAATCTTTTCAGTTTTTATATTTTATTGTGGTCTTAATTGAAATAGAATTACATCACTTTCCTTCCTCCAACTCCTCCCAGTTACTTTCCCTTGAACTCCTTCCATGTCCCCCTCTCTGAAATTGATGGCTTCTTTTTCTTTAGTATCCGTATATGTACATATGAACTATGTATTTGTCTGCACAAATATATACATAGTTGCTGAGTATGTATATCACAAATGTGTACGTGTGTTTGTGTGCGTGTGTGTTGTTTGTGTGTATTTGGTTTCAAGGCCAACCATTCTATTCTGCATTTGACAACCAACGAGGGGCTCACCCCTGGGAGAGGCTAATTTTCCCTCTCCCAGCAGTCAGTAATTGCTTGTAGTTCTTTGTCTAAGGGTGGGAACTCATGAAATTTTTTCCCCCTTCTGTATTACATGTCCATTGGAATGTCATTGCTCTGGTCCTGTTTATTTGTCTGTTTTTAGGAAAGACTGTTCACAGTGGATTTCTTGTGGCCCTTAAAGTCTTTCTACCCCCTTTTCTGTGATGTTTGCTGAGCCCAAGAGGCAGGAGCTATGATGTAGTGTTTCCACTGGGGCTGGACTTCCCCAGATGCCTTGATCTTTGCATTGTGTCCAGTCATGGTTTTCTTTGATGATCTCTGGTGTAAAGAAAAAACTGTTTTGATGAGGGGTCGTAGCTACAAGTGTGGGTAAGAAGAAAAGATGATTTAGAAACACTGGTTTAGTAAAGTTGCTGTAGTTGATTCTTTTTCTAAAGTCCATGACTTCACTGGTTCCAGGAAAACTGTCTAGGTTCCCAGTACCCGGCAAGATTTCCTTCCAGTTGAGTGGGCCTTTAATCCAGATAGACAGCCGTTGGTTGCAAACAGCATGTGAGTGCCAGTTACTACACCTTTATGCATATCTTGCCTTGATAGAAATTGTGCTGCATAGGTCTTGTACCTGGGGAGGATTGCTTTAATTGCTCCATTCCTTGGCAGCTTGCATAGGATTTACTGGAATCATGGAGGGTAGACAGGACAGAGGCTCCAGGTGAGGTCCAGGACAGGACAGAGGCTCCAGGTGAGACCCAGCTCAGATCTTCCGAGTCCTCTGTCTTAAGTGTGTGGTGGTGTCATCAGCAATAGGGAAGGCCCCTTTTTAATACCATCCTATTGCCATACCTGATTTTTGGAGGGGACACATTCAAATAACAAATGCAACTTTCAAAGGTATTAAGTAATTGTCAGTCACTAGTAGATTTTTAGGCTTTGAAGCTTTGAATTTAAATTCAATTTTGAAATGAAGATCCAATCCTCCATTGAACAGATAAAATGTACACGATTTTCATCATCTTTAGCTTCAAAAAAATTGGTTTTTGTTTTGGATCTCATTATAATTTATTCAGACTTTATTTGGAAAAAAACCCATGTATTTAAAATGTTTTGAGAATATGTCAGAGCTAAAGAAGAAGTAGTCACTTTCTTATATCTGGCGGTAGAATGACCTTGTAAATTATTTATTTAGACGGACTGTGGTGGATAGACTGTTAGCTTTACTGCTTCCATGAAGTTTAACGTAGGTGGAACAAATTACATGAGAACATTAAACTTCCCCTCTGTCCCGGTATGCAGGAATAGACTTTGCACTCAGAATTTTCAACTTTTCTTCTTCTCGTAAGATTGACAGGGGCTGGGTGGTGGTGGTGCACACCTTTAATCCCAGCACTTGGGAGGCAGAGGAAGGCAGATCTCTGAGTTTCAGGACAGCCAGGGCTGTTACACAGAGAAACCCTTTTTCTTGGAAAACAAGCAAAGATTTACCGGAGACAGTGATGTTTAGGGAAGTGACTTAGGAGATGTCAGATTAAAAGTAAAAAGAATGACATTTTCGTCTTATTTGTATTAACATGGGTAACGTTGGGTGTGGCGTGATTCTGGACACTGTATGCTATCCTTTAAGGGAGAGGAGAGGTGGAGTCATGGCGTCCACAACTGGATAGCATGGGCAGAGAGTTAGAGACAGACATTTTTGATTGATAAGGTTGTTGATCAGGGTATCATAAGCAGAGAATAGTGTGCTGTGAATATGTTTTAGAAAGATGATGAGGTATATTTAGGATTTGCTGATTAAAATTCAAGTCAAGTATGTGGATGGAAATGACTTGAGGTTGGAGGAGGAGACGATATATAGACTAAGGAGGCATTCATTGAAATTTTGAAGAAAACAAGTATATGATGGGAGAGAAGCTTCAGGATATAAAGCCCTGTGCGGAATCTGATTAAGAATAGAATGTAATGGGCCGAAGGAGACCCATTCAGTTTGTTTTGGATTGAAGGTGGTCATTAACTTTCAATCCAATTTGCATGAAAAATGGAGGTAGTGAATAAAAACTCCTGCTGAGATCGTGGTAATTGAAGCTTAGAGCAGTAAGATACTTGAAAAGTTAGGATCAGAAAGCTTGGGCGGAGAGTTGTGTGTATGTAAGAGCAGACGATGTGGGGAAAGAGCAGAATGGGCTGGGAGAGATGTTGGTCTAGGGATGTTTTTCAAGTTCTTTTTCTAAAACTTTCACTTAATTATAGAAGTCCATAGTTGCTTACCACAGAAAACTTGAAACACTAAATGTACATCTCAAAGCCTTTCCAGCATTTTCTGTTTCAGTTCTTATTTTGATGCATGGAAATTCTGTATATTCCATGTTTTTTATTTCAGGGTGTTTATTGATAGAAAAAAAATATGTTTGTGTCTGCAACTTGGTTGATAAAGTACTTGTCTAGCATGCACAAGGTCCTGGCCTTGGTCCCCAAGCACCATATAAAAGAGTGTATGGTGAAAAGGGCCAAGGAAAAAACACCCTGCCCCTGACTAGACCCAAGACCTGGGCCAAGGAAAAACTAGGGCTTGAAATCCCACCAATCCCTGCACTTGCCCAGAATCAGGCCACAAAACTCCACCAATCCCAATTTTCCCAATATTGGAGAAAATTAGGAAGACTCAAAGGCAAGACCCTGGAAAGCTCCCCCTCCCCCTAAGAAACCCTATCTATATAAGCTCTCTGCCCTGTTCAGTTTGCTTCTGCTTCTCACCCTAGAGGCAGCCACCCTCCTAGATTTTTCCTTCCCAATAAATCTCTTGAGTGAGGTTTGTTGTATGGTGTAACACTTTTGCCAAGACACACCATCAACACCATATAACCCATACCGTCCACATCACCATATGGTCCCCAAGCACCATATAAAACAGCATGGTGACACTTGCCTGTAATCTTAGCATCAGGAGGTGTAGAGAGGTAGGAGTATCAGAAGATCTGGGTCATCTTTGGCTACATAGGAAATTTGATTGAGCAAGCCTGGGCTACATAAGACTGGAGAATTAGGTTTTTAGTATTTTAATGACCCCATAATGGATGAGCTATTGAATTAACTGTTTTGCTTTGTGTGTGTGTGTGTGTATTTTGTTTTTGTAATTAATTGTTAGAATAAAATAGATATAGTTAAGCCTAAATTAGTGATAACATTTCTTAGAATAAAACTCTAGAAGTCAGGTCTCTGGAGCAAAGTATAAATACAAGTTCTTAACACCTGTCACTAAAATGTTTGAAAAGTTCTTCATAATAGGAGATTGTTAAAGATGGCATATTTGGCAATAGTTATGACTTTATGAAACTATGGACTCTGCTGTACTCAGTCCAGCTTTTACACAGAATAGAAGACATTAAAAGAGAGAAAAGTTTCTGAATGGAGTGGGTCCCCTCCTCATAGAATGGATGTGTCCTTCCTTTCTTGTACTCTTTTTATTCCATTCAAAAATTATTTTTCTTCTAGTTTCTTCTTTCTTTCTTTCTTTCTTTCTTTCTTTCTTTCTTTCTTTCTTTCTTTCTTTCCTTTTTTTTTTTTTTTTTAAATTTTTTGAGACAGGGTTTCTCTGTGTAGCATTGCGCTTTTCCTGGAACTCACTATGTAGCCCAGGCTGGCCTCAAACTCACAGAGATCCGCCTGGCGCCTCCCGGGAGTGCTGGGATTAAAGGCGTGCGCCACCACCGCCCAGCTCTTCTAGTTTCTTAACTAGTAAAGAAGAGAAACCTGAATGAGTCTATTTTTTGTTTTCTTTGTAGGATATAGAAGACTTGGATCACTATGAGATGAAGGAAGAAGAGCCTATTAATGGGAAAAAGTCAGAGGACGAAGGAATTGAAAAAGAAAATTTGGCAATATTGGAGAAAATTAGGAAGACTCAAAGGCAAGACCATTTAAATGTAAGTGTGACTGAGTATCTAGAACATGGACTCTGGTTAAATAATTATAGATAATAATTGGGTAATTCGTTAATATGCCAATCTCAGCTGCCCTCTGTTTCCATCCTGTCTTGGTGGTGGACTCAGCCATTTGTTTGTGACCTAGGCTGCTGCTGCGTGGTGACAGCTGCTCTCCACCTTGTCCATCTTCTCCACATCTTGGAAGCATGTGCTGCTGTCTCTATAACAATCCTCTGATGGTTAGTTTTCATTGTCGACTTGACGTAACTTAGAATTAACATGGGGAGAGAGTCTGAATGAGGGGTCATTGACTTTGGATTGGCCTGTGGGCTTGTCTGTCAAGGAACTGTCTTTAAGTTAACTGATGTGGAAAGACAGCCCATTGTGGGTGACACCATTCCCTAGGTAGGGAGTCTTAAACTCTGTAGAGAAGACAAAAAACGGAACCACAATCAAGCAAGCAAGTGGGTGAGCATGTACACATTTATTTCTCTCTGCTCTTGACTGTGATTGTGTTATGACCATGTGAATTTCCTTTCTTTTTTTTTTTTTAAGATTTATTTATGTATACAGTGTTCTGTGTGCATGTACACCCGCAGACCAGAAGAAGGCGCCAGATCTCATTACAGATGGTTGTGAGCCACCATGTGGTTGCTGGGAATTGAACTCAGGACCTCTAGAAGAACAAGCAGTGCTCTTAACCTCTGAGCCATCTCTCCAGCCCGAATTTCCTTTCTTGACTTATCCAAAGTGAAGGATTATGACATAGAATTGTAGGCTGAAATAAACCCCATTCTTTCCCTAAGTTGGTTTTTGTCAGGACTCCCCCCCGAGACAGGGTTTCTCTGTGTAGTTTTGATGCCTTTCCTGCAGCTTGCTCTGTAGACCAGGCTGGCCTCGAACTCACAGAGATCCACCTGGCTCTGCCTCCCGAGTGCTGGGATTAAAGGCATGCGCCACCACTGCCCGGCTTGTCGGGATATTTTTTATCACAGCAACAGAAACAACCTAGAAGAACACGTCTTCACATCCTGTTGTTGCTGCTTTACTTACTCCCCTACCGTGGTCTCTGTAAGTTCACATTCAGCTTCCTACAGAGTATTACTGAGTCTCTCCACAAATCTGACCTCTGTCTTTGTGCCTAACCAACCCAGAAGTAATTTTTCTCTTTGGATTTACTTAACCTCACCCCTCACTCTGTCTAGAGACTCTCATCTCATTCTGTAGCCTTGACTAGCCTGGAACTTGATATAGACCAGGCTGGCCTTCAGTTCAGAGATCTGCCTGTATGTACCTCCTGAGTGCTAGGATTAAAGGTGTGCACAACCATGCCAGGTGATTTATCATGGCTTTTATGAGAAGCATCCTAGCAGTATGAGATTCATTGTTTGGTAACAGACATGTTTGTGTTCAGCTTTAAAGTGTGTGTGTGTGTGTGTGTGTGTGTGTGTGTTGCCCAGACAAAGGAAGTGTGTAATGGTACTCTGGTTATCTGACACCTACTGCCTTGAATTAAGAGAAGCTTATTAACTCCATGAAGTCAGGACTGGCTGCTTTGTCTTGGGCAAACACAGTGAATGACTTGTTATGCAAGTTAATATCAAGAATTCTAACAAGTAAATTCTTATCATTCCTTTAATCATATTTAATATGCTAATTTAACTGGCAAGTCTTTTTTGCAGAGAACTTTAACTTTAAGCCCACATCTTTATTATTAAAGTAAGCTTGTAGCATCTGAACTAATACTTTACTTACTATGTCTTATGATGGGACTCCAGTTTGTATGCTTTATAGTTAGAACAGCTACAAATTATTGGATACTCTGGCATGATAAATATAAGACTTAAGTGCTTTATACATAACCTTCCCATTAAATCTTCATAGAATCTTCATAGCTGTTGTAGGAACTAGGCACTCTTCATGTTTTATAGATAGATGGAAATACTAGGGTTTAAAACCAGTTCAAGGGCTGGGAGATGGCTCAAAGGTTAAAGTGGTTGCCTCCCAATCGGAAAGTGTTAGGATGGTGGCTGGCTCTTTAGAACTCACATAAATGCTGGGGGTGTATGGTGGCCAGCCTGTATTTCCTCAACTCAGAAGCAGAGACAGGATCCCCCGAGCAAGCTGGCCAGTTAAACTAGACTGTAGTTCAGTTCAAAGACCCTAACTCAGTAAGTTGGAAGGCACTCAAGGCTGACCTTGAACTCAAGAGATCCGCCTGCCTCTGCTTTCCAGTTGCTGGGACTAAAGGTATACGTCATCACTGTCTGGCACTTTTTGACTTAATGCTGAGTGGTGATCATTTTCATGTCATTGTAAAGTTTCCCTCAGACTCCGATACCTTAAGCTTTTAATTACCTGTTGTTTCAGGGTGCAGTGTCTGGGTCGGTACAAGCATCAGATAGACTCATGAAGGAGCTCAGGGATGTCTACAGATCACAGAGCTACAAGGCAGGTGAGGCCCTGGCTCTGCTGGCCATTTGCTTCTTCAGGTGGTGTTGTTTTTCATTTCCTTTGCTTTCCTTTTGGGGAGTCACAGGGGACCAGTTAGCTTGAACTCACTATTTTTCTGTTCAGTCATGATGGGATTAGATGTGTACCAGCACACCCAGCTTAGATGTAATTAATATAGGTAGACAGAGTTGGGAATTTTTATTGACTATTTTGGAGATGTAAAACTCAGGTTTAACAAAGTTCTAAAAGATGTAGGAGATAAAATGAGTTTATTTTTGTATTTAAAAATTATATAAATACATCATAATTTTCCTTTTACTTTCTTTCTGATGGAGATATAACTCATGATTTTTATCTTCTGGCAAAAGTATGAGTAATACTACTTTTTAAAATAAGTAAGGTTAATATACTTTGTTGTACAAGGAAAACTTGCTGAATTTATTTTCATAGTTTTCATATTTTGAAACAATAAAACTTAACAATAGGAGTGGTATTCTTTTCAAAATTGATAGATTTCCCCATTTCATAATTCTATGAAGAAAATGTTCTTTTTCAGGGCTGGAGATGTAGCTCATTGGTAGAACACTTGCCCTGGGATTCAGTCCTCAGCTGCATGAATTCAAAACTCAAAAGGTTTTCTTATCCAGCAAGATTTAAGTATTGTAGAGCCCAAGGAAAAAATTTATTGCTGTAGTGTTAATAAGCAAGAAATAACCAATTTAGGAATAATTGGTTCAATTATTCTGGATTCATCACAAAAAAAAAAAAAAAAGTAGAGTTGTTTTAAAGATTGGCAGTAAGGACTAGAGAGTGTTAAGAGCACTTGATGCTTATGTAGAGGACGCATGTTCAGTTCCCAGCACTCAAGTCTGGCCACCTCTTAGCTCCAGGTCTAGGATGTCATACCCCCTGTAGCCTTCACAGGCACGCATGTAGGAGGCATACATTGACACACACACGTAAAATAATACAAATAATAAAAAAATAAAGTTTCATGTATGCTATAGAAAGTTTGACAGAGAAAAAAGGCATGTCAAAAGGTGAAGATTAAAGTAGTTTGTATAGGATTCTGTTTTCCTAGAAGTATCTGTATACATAGAAATATTATTTGTATAATGTGTTTTTTAGTGAAAGTGAGTAGTAAGCAGTTTTTTAATTCAACAAAATATCTTTTAGTTGATAGCTTTAATTATTTTAATAGTAAAACTTTGCTGTTATTGGCTATTTAGTATATTTAACGTATTTACTTACATCAGAGTAATACATAATCAATAAAGAGTAACCGGTGTTGTTCCCTGTGTATCTACAGGGATTTATTCAGTGGAACTAATAAATGACAGCTTATATGACTGGCATGTCAAACTACACAAGTAAGTGCTTTTTATGCTGACCTACTGTCCACAATGAAGTGTTTGCCTTTCTTCTCTCTCTCTCTCTCTCTCTCTCTCTCTCTCTCTCTCTCTCTCTCTCTCTTTGCCTCATCAGTTGTATACTTTTATATTATGGCATTTTCTTGAACATTACTACTCTGGAAGTAGTTGTAAGATTATTAGAGTGAGCTATTTCTGAGGTTATTATTATTGGGTTAAGTCACAGAGGAAGATGAATGATAGAAGGGCATAAAGTGTTTTCAGACAGTGACAATTTACAAACAAAATGTATTCAAAATAACACGAGACTGTGATGCTATTTATGTTTGAAGTAAGGAGATTTAAGCAGCATATACAGAAGAGTTAAAGAAAAAGCTTTTACAGTGATTTACTTTTCATGGTTTTATTAGTCATAAATTTCTTTCCTTAAACTTCTTGATTAAAAATACAATTTTAGGAAAGCATATCATCAAACAGTTTTTGAGTTACTTGAAAAATTACATGTATCCAATTGTAGTTCTTTGAAATGACTGTTAATTTCAAATTCCCTTCGTTCCCAAGGAGCTAGAGCCCATAGTGATTTTTTTTTCTGGGACCATGAGCACTTCAGAACTTCTGTTTGCAACTTACCCTGGTGCTCTGTTGTCCGCTCTTGGACCTGTTCAGGTGGAGTTTAGTTAAGAAAGGTTTTTCTAACTTTGTTTGAACTGGCTTTTGTTTTGTTATTTTTAGGGTTGACTCTGATAGTCCTTTGCACAGTGATCTTCAGATCTTAAAAGAAAAAGAAGGCATAGAATATATTTTGCTTAACTTCTCTTTTAAGGTAAGACCATTGTAATGGGATTCCATGTTCTTCTAATGGGAGTGTGTAATTGGTTCAGCTTCCTTGGAGAACAATTTGGTATGATTTGGGAAAGTAGAAGATACTCATACCTTATAGTTCAGGATTTATTTGTTTATTTATTTATTCAGAGTCTCACTGTGTAGCCTGGCTGACCTGGAACTTGCTGTCTAGACCAGGATCGCCTCAAAGTCACAGAGATCTGCATGCCTCTGCCTCCCGAGTGTTGGGATTAAATGTTGATAGTGGGCCTGGCTAGTTACAGGAATTCATGAGGCATATACTCCACAAGAAATGAGTACTTAGACACACCAGGAAGCATAAACAAAAGCGTTCAGAGCAGCATTTTGTTTGTCATAACTCCAAACCGCAAATAACCCAAGTTACTGCAAATAACCCAAGTTACAGGAAAGTGGAGAATATGGAATTCTAAGATAGACATATTTGAGAAGATAGGTCAGTCTTCTGTACAGTGTTAAGCAGAAGTAACTAGACTTGACTCCTAGCCTTTTTGTTTAGTTCCATTTATATAGAGTTAAAAAATTTGTAAAACTAGAATTGTAGGCCGGGCGGTGGTGGCGCACGCCTTTATTCCCAGCACTCGGGAGGCAGAGCCAGGCGGATCTCTGTGAGTTCAAGGCCAGCCTGGGCTACCAAGTGAGTTCTAGGAAAGGCGCAAAGCTACGCAGAGAAACCCTGTCTCGAAAAACCAAAAACCAAAAAAAAAAAAAAAAAAAAAAAAAAAAAAAAACTAGAATTGTATAGGACACGCATTGTCACTGCAGGTAGGTGAAAATTGGTCCTTTAAATGAAACATTCTTAGGCATTAAAACATATTTCTACTATGCCGAAATTCCATGGGTCAAGGGACCCTGGTAAAATTAGGGGGGGAGTCTAGGAAGACTTCTTTGGTAAACAGTGACAAAAACAACCACAGCGACAAAAACAAAAACAACAACTTTTGGTAAACCCAGTGTAGGAGTGAAGGTGTGATCACTGTGCATATTAGGACAAGGGGTTGACAGTGGAAAGGCCATCTATGGGCTTCCTGCTGGCAGATTCTCCTGACTAGAGTGTTGGTCATGTGGGCATCCACTTTATAACAATTTATAAAAATACCCCTGTATATATATATATTTCTTTTTGAATTTGTACTACACTTAGTAATTTTAAAGATGTTTGGAATAAAAGTTAAAAAAGAATAGTAAAGGGCTCTAGATAAAATGTTAGTGATTTAATGTATAATAGGGTAAAATCTAATGATTAAAAATCTCAGCTAGATTGAGGTGTTTTGAGGATTTATGTTGACGTGAGGCAGGACTTCTCTTTGCCCTGTTCTGAGTTGAAGAGGAGGCTTAGTGTAGCAGTTGTCTTGCAATTACAATGTTTGTCCACATTAGTTACCCAGGTGACTTTGAACTGCCCCATGCTATTGAAGCCTTTGGATTTGCAGTCCTTCTGGGGATAAGGGAGCTGGTTATTGGACTTTGCAGAACATGCTGAAAAGCCTGCAGTCTCTGGGATCTGTCCTCTGTGCTGTAAACCAGCCCTGGAGGAGTTTGTGTAAGGGCAGAGTTGGTCTGTTCAGCTTCTTGTTTTGTCTTAAACAGTCATTGAGCTTTCAACAGTGCTGGTTGATAGTATATAGCTGATTTCTGGGAGACTAGTTGGAGGCTTTAACTTTAATCCTAGCATGAAATGGTACAGAGCTTGTGTATGGTGTTGGTGGTAGAATAGGTGAAACAGGATTTAAGATGTTTTGAAGGAAGAAAACAAAAGACATTAAAGAATATTTTCTTTATATTTAGAATTTGTAGAGATCTTTAGTTGAATCCCAGAGCACAGTTTATGGAGAAGTCTCTTAAGCTCTGAAGTAGACTTACTTTCTGAAACTGAAGGCAGTTCTCAAGCAGTCAAAAGAGATTTTATAGTTACCCATTCGGGATCATGTGTTTAGAGATCTGTTCTAATAATAGTTCTGCTCTTCCAAGCTGTGCATCTGTGTTTTCGTTATCCTGTTAAATTATAGATAGATTTGAAAGTAGATTAAATTGTCATTAAGTTGGCTGTATGTATGGGTGGGTAGGTGTCTTTCTAACCTGCAGTAGAAATCTAAGATGATCCACTTTAGCGACTAGAAATGTGCCTCCTCTACTGGGAGGATCAAATTTTCATAATTTTTATGTTCCTGGAAATCTTGTGAGCAGACAGGGGAAGTTACTGAAAGTATGGTAATTGTTTTTTGACTTTTTGTCTTCTTGGAAATAATTGAATGAAGCATATTTGTACCTATCTTGCCTCAAAAGGAGTTTTTAAAATAGCATTACTTCCCTTTAAACCATGTTGTTTGAACATGAAAATTGGACAGAATTTCTCTTAGACTCCCTTGGTCTCTCTTCAACAAGAGCAGGAAGCCATTTCACTGTCCAGCTGCTATAGGAAGCTACGGGCAGCGTTCCTGACCTGGTTGTCAGGGAACTAACAGCTAACACTCTTGGCTACGTTAGCATCATACTTCATGATATGAGATGGCTCTCCGTCTCTTTAGGGTTGGAGGAGGGACAGGGTCTTTGACTAGCCTTGGAGTTCTCTAGTTTGTCTAGACTGGTGCTGGTCAGTGAGCCCCGAGATCCCTCTGTCCCTGTCTCCCCAGTGCTGGAGTCACAGGCATGTGCTGACACACCTGGCTGTCTTTGTTCTGAGGCTGGAACTCAGGTTCTTGGGCCTGCGCAGGCACCTCCTCAGCATCACCTTTGACTTTTTGAAGCAGCTTAGCCTTTGTTTTGAATGTTACTGATCACTGGGTTTAAATCTACCATATGATTGGTGATTTTCTACTCATCTTTCTTGTGCTATGTCCCCCGCCTCTTTGGATTTCCTTAGGACTCCCATCTCCTGCCTTTTAGCTTGGTGATTACATGTTCTCTTACTCATCCCATATATGTCCTTGAATTGTCAAAGTGCAATATTCCCTTTTTTGCCCTTGTAATCTCATAGCCTTAGAACATTTGAGTTCATGTACTCAATACATGCATTTACATTCTATACTTAGATTCTGGGACCAGACATATTTGGATTTTCATGCTCTTTATTCTCCCAGGTTATATCTAGCACGATCTTTTTCCTGCCTGAAAGAATATTGTTAAGTATCTCTTTTTAGTGCAGTTTTGCAGATGGGAAAATTGATTTGTTTTTATTTCTTTTTCTTTGAGACAAGGTCTTGCTATGAAGCACAGACTGGTCTCAAAGTTATTACTCCCTTCCTGATTGCTGGTGTTACAGGCGTGTGCTACTTTGCCTGGCTTTAATTGCATTTTTGAGGAGTACAGATTTTTAGGTTGGCAAATTGCCAACTCCTTTCAGCACCTTGAAGACCTTTCTCATCATTGAAGATTCTAGTCTTTCCTGATAGTGCTTACATTGACCAAACCTTGAGGAGCGTTTAAAAAATTCTCATCCAGTTTTTTTGCTCCGTTCTCTTTCCTAAGACTCAAACCTGTGCGATAAACCGTGTGTGTGTCTTGTTATCGTCTGCATTTCCCACTGTGTCCACCCTTTGTGGCCTTTCCTAACTTCCTTTGGATGTCACTGAGTCTCTCTGCTGCAGCGTGTTGCCGTCATTGCAGTCACGCATTACTAGGTTGTTAGTTAGTTCTTGTTGCTGTAGCTCCAGATCCAGATCCTGTTGGTTCTCCTTACTGTGTGAGTTCTGCCCGAGGTTTGCTTTCTTCTCCTCTTAGTTACTCTGACGTTTGCCTGCTGACTGGCTGCTCTGCTCCTGTCTTGTCATAGACATAAGGTGTGTCCTTATGTCTAAGTCTTAGTAAATTGGACATACTTGTGAAAGATCACAGAGGGGTTTCCAGTATTGTGTTCTTCCCTAGAGGGGATTATCATGTGCCTCTGCCAGGGCCACAGACAGTGGGGACCCCGAGAGTATCTGTGATGGACACTCCTGGGGGGGCATTTGGCTGTTGGTCCCCTCAGGGCCCAGCCTGGCATGCAGAAGGCCCTCAGGCCTCTCTTTGGTGTGTTGCAGCTCCGCCTCTTGCCTCCCTGGCCCAGAGTCTGCATTCTGCTCTTAGCTAACCTCTTACATTCCTCTTCTGTCTGTAGTGGAAAGAAAAGGCCTCTCCTGGGCCTACCCACAGCCATGCACTTAGTGTACAATGTGAGTTAGTACAGCACTGTTTTATTCTGTCCTGACCTGAATTTGACATTTTTATTTACTTGTTTCTCAGCTTTCTTTTGGACTAATTTAACTTTTATGACCTTTATATTACAGGTAATAGGAGGATACATTTCTTTATTGATTATTTGAAAACCTTCTAAATAATGCAAAACTAAAAATGATGTTCTTAAAATTGATTAAACTTATGATGTTCTTAGTTGATTAAACTTATGCTTTTCTAGGATAATTTTCCATTTGATCCTCCATTTGTTCGAGTGGTGTTACCTGTTCTCTCAGGAGGGTAAGTTACATATTTACTTTGTTGTGGTCGTTGTGTGTCAGGGTCTGTTGCAGAAGTAGCTAGACCCTGGGAGGGTAGGATTGCTGGACTTCTGCTGGAGGACTCTGTGTCAAGTAGGTTGAGGAGGCCAAAGAGTTTGCATGTCTAAGAAGTTCCCAGATGAGACTGATAGCACTGGTTTGGGGTCCCCATTCAGACTGGTATAAATTAGTGATTTATAAGTAGACATACTAATGGATTTTATTTATAGATATTGACCCTTAAGAAATGGGTTTTAGCTGAGTATGCCTGCCTGTAACCCCAAACTGTCAGAAACTGATGCAGGATTGTGAGTTCCAGGCTGGCCTTGACTTTACAGTGGGTCTGGGCCTTCCAGAGAGATTAATTTATCCATCCATCCATCCATCCATCCATCCATCCATCCATCCATCCATCCATCCATCCA